GCTGTCAGTGTGAACCCATCCTCCACACCGCTGTCAGTGTGAACCCACCCTCCACACTGCTGTCAGTGTGAACCCGTCCTCCACAAAGCTGTCAGTATGAACTCATCCTATAACCTACACTGCTGTCAGTGTGAACCCATCCTCCACACTGCTATCAGTGTGAACCCATCTCCCACAGTGCTGTCAGTGTGAACCCATCCTCCACACTGCTGTCAGTGTGAACCCATCCTCCACACAGCTGTCATTACCAACTTCCTAAAGCAAGCACATACATATGGGGAGAGGAGTGGGGCTGGAGGAAGAGGAAAGAAGGGAAGGGAGGGGAGGGAGATCCTAGACTACGAGGAGTAGCTTCATCCCTCCCAAACAGCACGGGGACCCCATTAGTTCCTACCTCTATTTAATTTCATTTGCTGTTCCTTCTCAAATACAAAGTCCTCAGATTCTTTCGAGCTTCGTATGTCCTTCTGTAACTTGTTTTCCAAGCAAGCTTTCTGACTTGCATAAATATTCAAGCTTCCTTTCATTCCATACAAGAATTCAAGAAAAGATGCCACATTCTCACAGTAACAAATGGATATTCACAACCTGAAGTTGGATTGATTGTTCTAACATCTGCCCTTCTCACCAGCACAGACATCTCCTGTCTGTTCATCTCTGGATCTCCAGAGCTCAGACCGATGTCTGGCATGGAGAAGCACTTCCTGACATGCTAGTCAAGTGAATTAATAACCGAATGAAAGCGGTCTCCTTGTGAATATATTGCCGAGTGCTGTCTATTAGTGCCTGGGTTAGAAACCAGGTTTAAAGTCATATTGACATGGTCAGGGTGAGTTGTAGTTGGCCCCTTGATCCCACAGATCACGTTTTATGTTTCTAGTTTGTGATGTTTGGCTATAATTTGCCTATAAAGCATGATGCTTCAAAGAATACCTTAGGGCATTCTGGTGGGCACAGTGAGAGAAAAGGAGAAGAAATAGTGGGGGAGGAAATCTTGCTTTTCATTTAATACTCATTATGATATTAAAACAAAACCGGTGTACTGCTTTGGGGACTGCCCTTTTCCTTCTGTATTTTTTAGTTCTTTGATTACATTAAGGCAAAAAATTATTGTTTCTACATAAGCAAGCCTGGACTTCCAAAGAAGACAGGAAATCTCTTCATCTTATTAATGTGCTACCTAAAAAACAAACCATAGTGAGGAATTAGCTGAGCCCTCATTAAATTATGCCGGTCAGTGGATCCAAAAATAAAAGCCTGAGTTGGTAACTATGAATCCTCTTGTTTTCAGCTGGGCAGAAAATCGCGAGCCTACAAAAGAGCCGTCTGGATAGACTGTGGCATTCATGCAAGAGAATGGATTGGTCCTGCCTTTTGTCAGTGGTTCGCAAGAGACGTAAGTGAGACCCTTTGCTAATCAGGAGTCCCATGGGTTTTTATTCTGCTCAAGAAATAAAGTGGGGATTGGAGAACAGCAATTCCTGATGGAATAACAATAATACCTTGATTCTTTGGGGTGCTTTCAGGTTTATGAAGCCCTCTACGGCCTTGGATCAACTTACATTCACCTCTGTCCTCCAAAGGTGGAGTCACTTACCCCAGTTTAAAAAGCTGGGTTAGGGAGGTGAAAGCGATTAACTCAGCTGATGTCTGCTTGTACCTGGCATGCATCAGACCCTGGATTTGATCCCCAATGCCACATAAACTGGGCATGGTGTTGCACATCTACAACCCTAGCATTTGGGAGGTTGAAGCAGGAGGACCCCGGGTTTAAGGTCATCCTCAAAGGCCATCCTCCGCTATGTAGAATGTTCAAGGTCAGCCTGTGCTACCTGATGCTCTAACTCGAAAAGCAAAGATGAAACCATCTGGGATCAGAGCTTTTATGAATCTGAGGCAAATTAGGAACCAGAAATTGCAGCGAATTAATAGTAAAAGTCTGAAAATGTAATTTACAGTGGTCTAGAGCAACTGTCCTGTTGCATTCAGCTAGGAAAGTTCTGTCGTTTTCTTCCCTTTCAAAATGACCTCACCTGTGCTGAAACAGCCAAGAGGTGACCAAATGGTTGACCATTCCCTCCTGCTCTAAACCTGCGATTTGGAGACCAAGAGATCTCTAGCATCTGTGACTGATCATTCTCAATGTCCGTTTTCAAGGTGACTCTGACAGCTGATGACTCATAAGGATTCTCATTTTCAAATGCTTTATTTGAATCTTGAACCCCTTGCTGGGTGGGCTGGCATTCCCAGAATGTAGTGACTTTCATTGTTAGGAGCTTTCTTAAATCTTGATTTATATGGGAGAGGGAAAATCTTGAGAGAAAGTCAATCACTACTAGAAACAAAAGTGAAGGGGCCTAAAGAATTGAAGGTTTGCTAGTCCTGTACTTACAGGAAGCCATTACGGATACAAAGGGACTTCAAATGCACTTCAGTCATATTTCACCATTTTATGTGGAGATTGTGACTTTGAGAGCTCTAATAGGCATTACAGAATATATTTCATATTTCACAAGTGTCCAGATGCACTAAATTTGCAACCTTTTTCTCTCTACCGTAACAAAACCTGTAAAAGTATCCTTAACTTTTAGATATTATAAAATAAGCAATATTAACTTTTCTGCTTCAAATTACTGAATAACCCACTTTCCTTGAAACCCCCATTCCCATTGAGACTGGTTTGGGGACAGGGGATACAGGACCGTCGAGATTTCAATAGGGTGAAGCTACCTTGCATTACTATACCATCTCCTTTGTACTAATTCTGTCCTTTTGTTAAATCCTTGGTGACAGGCAAGGTGGTGCCATTGTGTTGGATCAGGAGAATCATATAAGTGATGTCTTCCCAGAGAGACATCTGGGAGGCTGAATAAGTCCCCTTTCCTTACATTTTCCCCTGATCTGCCAGTCGTTTCTTGATATTGTCTCCCTTTCTTAGATGCATTTCCCTAAAACTCGATAATTTAAAACAACAGTCATTGATGTCTCTGTTTCTATGGGTCAACAATCTGGGTGAGCTCAGCTGGATGCCTCTGACTTGGGATCCCTCACTGAGCTGCAGTCGGGAGTTCACTTGGGGACTCAGTCATGAAGACGTGTGTATTAAAGGAGAGGATGTGCTTCTGAGCTCATTTATAGCCACTGAGGACCTTAGGTCTCTCACTGGCTGTCAACCCCCAATATCAGTTCCTTGCCTCATGAGTCTCTCACCCTAAGGTAGCTTGGAACAGGGACCTGGCTCCCCTCAGAACAAGTGGGAGAGAGGGGAAGAGAAAGGAGGGCCAAATTAGAAATGAGTCCCGTAGGAATCAAGTCTCAAAAGCAACCTCCCTTCACTTTGCCAAACTCTGTCCATTGGAAGGAGAGACACAAGGTCAAAGGCATCCTCAAGAGAAACAGATTACACAGGGTGTAAATGCCCAAAACGAGCATCACCAAGGCTCACAGTGGAGGCTGCCGACCACACCTTAGAGAGACTTTCCGCACAGACTTTCCGCACACCTACCACTGTAACACTTGATTCTTCCTCAGATGTGAACTAAGAGAAATTAAATCAACCCTGTGCTCTGAGAGAGCAGATCACATAGGATTCTGGGTGCACATGAGTTATACAACCGAGCTCTAAGTCTAAAGCTAACTAACCTGTGGATAATAATGCTATGTAACAGCCAGGGCTGCTAGAAGGATTGAATAATGTCATACAAACAAAAGACCTGGAATGCTTGGCAACTAGAAAGCACTTTACGAAGTCAACTTATTATGACTTGATATCAGCAATTTAGGATTTTAGCCCACATAACAGAGAACAACTAAATGGAAAATCAGCAGGAATATAAAAGAGCTCAACACTCTTTTATTTTCAAGACAAGATGTAGTAGATGATTGTAAATCACCCAACAACCCCAGAATGCACATTCTTTAAAGTGCCTATGGGGTGTGTACTGAGAAATACCTAGGTTAAAAAAAAAATCAGACTGCAACAAACGTAAAAAGATTAATATCACCATAGCGAAACCAACCTAGAAACTGATCATAAACAATAGGAAGATTTCTAAAAATCTGAAAATTAAGAAAAGTTATAAATAATCCACAGATTAAGGAACAAATTTCAAGAGAAAAAATAAAGAATACATTGAACAGGATGCGAATGAAAACACAGCATCTCAAATTTGCAGGGCATCGCTAAAACAGTGCTAAATGAAAAACTTAAAGTACTGAATTCACGCATATTAAAGAAGGAAAGTCTCCAAACAATAAGTTTTTCTGTCAAGGACCCATGTATAGTGAGCAAAATGGTGGGAATAAATAAATGCCAAAGTAATCAGGAGAAAGGTAATAAAAATAGGAGCATAAATTGGAGTGATTGAATACAGAAAATTATAGGAGAAAAGTCAACAAAATAAGAAAAGATGACAAAATCCTCTTGCAATGGTTAATCTCAATTGTCAACTTGACAGAATCTAAAATCACCTGGGAGGGGCCTCTGGGCACGTCTGTGAGAGAGTATCTTGACTAAGTTGTTCAAAGATGAAGCCCTTCGTGAGACTGGGATCTTAGCTGTAGCTAAGAACGCAAACTGAGGGCTAGCATTCATCTCCCTCAGCTTCCTGGGTGTGGTTGCTCTGTAGCCAGCTGCCTCAGGATCCTGGTGCCATGCCTTCTCCACCATCACACCCTGGACCAATGATACCCCTCCCAAAATCCTTTACTCTTCAAATTGCTTTTGTCGGAGTATTTTATCATGGCAACAAAGAAGTAACTAGACATCTAGCAAGACAGAGAGAAATCAAGGCAAGTTACCAGGATTAGGATTGAAAAGAGGCATTCTGTAGACACAATAGAAACCAAAGAATAATGAAACCTGAGAATGATACCGTACATATGAACTTGACAATATAGAAAAATGGACAAATTAATTGCAAAACACAAACTGCCAAAACACACCTGCTATAAGATGGATTGTTTTGACTCTAACAGATTCATGGTTTACCGCAGTTCACCTCAGGGCCAGGGCTCTGATTCCAGTGGTTCTAGGAGTTAGTGCAGGACCGAGGTTCTGACTCCAGCAGCCTGAGTTCAGCTCTGGATCTGAGTTTATTTTTCCAGAGTCCTCCTATGAGATAGGGTTAAAATTGGTGAGAAGTCCATTCCAACAGGTGTGTAAAACATGATAAAGAAACATAAAGCATATGACACATGACCCATCCCAACATCCCTAGAATGGAACCCGAAACCACAGAGATGGCTAAAATAACTAATAATTCAGAATTTTACTTTTTAAAATAATTAATGGCCATATAAATGATTCAAACAGATGTATGAACTAGGAAAATCTGTCCAAGTCTCAACAAGACAGTCTCCAAGTGACTGAAACAATTGTAAGTTTGAGGAGAAAAGATCAAAATTGAGGAAAATGAGATTGTAACACCAGAAATAGAATTTAATGAAAATGAAAGAAATGGTCAACCAAATAAAGAAAACTTATCACAAAACATCATCAATTGAAAAAATAATTCAGAAAGATATGCTACATAAAGGACAAATTAGAGACAATAATATACATAGATATATAATAGAGGAAATAAATAAACATGACCACTATTTCCAAAAAGTCTAGGACATGTAAAGGAGGCCAGACCTGACCCATGGTATAGAGGAAGGAGTGGAGATCAAGTCTAAAGAAATACAGAAACTATTCAGTAAAATAATAACAGATAAACTTTCAAACCTGGAGACAGAAGTAGGCATCCAGACACAAAAGCTTTTAAACTTCAAACAGACCTTACTAGAGAACTTTTTCATGAAATGTAATAGTCAAGATGTCAAGGATACAATACTAAAAGTGTTACAGAAAAAAAACCCTAACTCACACACAAAGGCATAAATAACAGAAAAAGCTCAAGTCTTTCATAGGAACACTAAGAAACAGAAAAGCATGGAACAATATATTTCGAGCTCTGAAGCAAAACTGAACCAAGAGTGTGGTAATCAGCAACGCAGCCTTTCAAACTGACTAAAAGGTCAGTATATTTCAAAAGAGACACAAATTAAGAAATGCATGATAACTGAGCAAACCCTGCAAAAAAATTCATTTAGAACTATTATACAGGGAAGAAGAAAGTTTCCTCTACAAGAACACATATATTCCATGAAAAAACACAAATAATTCAGTAAATCAGAACATCACCTAACAAAGTCTTAGGAAATCGGAAACCTTTAAATAACATTAAATGTACATGGCCTCAACTCACTGCTTTAAAAAAAAAAACACTCAAACTAACCAACTGCACTGAAAAACAAGAACAACTATCTGCTGTCTCCAAGAAATACACTTAAAAAACAAAGACATCTAAAGCCCGCCATCAAAAGATAGAGGTCAAACTACCAAGCAAAGAG